CAAAGACCTACCAAAACCTTATACCAAAACTAACAAACCTAAACCAAACCCAATATTCGACTGGCTCGCTAACTTTCTGATTACAGAAGAAATGAAACCTAATACTAAACTTCAAACTAAACTATCCTTATATCTCGTAGAAATATTTCGTGGATTTTTCACCTTGCTCAATTCAGGTGGCCTTGGATCAAGTCTGCCAAGAGTTAGCCAAGTTCATTAGTGCTTCTTCTCTTTCTACGCTTAGTTGAGTTGCCACTATTTTAAGATCTTCTAAATTAGGGTTTTCTGCGATCCTGTTGTTAAGCTTTGTAATTTGTTCCGTTAACTTCTGAATTCTAGATTCTGGTGCTTTAAAAGATCTGTGTGCCCTAATTATTGACTGTATGCAAATTTTGAGATAGTCCTATTTGTCCTCATTATGCATGTTTAGTAGCTCCTCTGAAATTTCATTGTAAATCTTGGGGTTTTTTAAAGAATTTGTCCCTAGTCTCCAGATCGTGTTCTGCATTGCTGGTACTGTATGTGCCAAGGTGCATTCGACCAGAAAATGGTCCGAATTGCCAAATTTTGTTTCTATCTTTTTAGTTAAGTGTGCATTGTCCTCATCTATAAAGATGTAGTCCAGCCTCGTTGCCATCATTCTGTTATTCTGTACCTTTTGCTGGTATGTGATGAAAGGAGTTGGTCCCACCATCTCTGCTGTGTCTACAAATCCTCTCATTACTTGATTTAATTTTTCTTTAGATTGGTCTGGTTAAACTAGAGATTGACTAATTCTGTTTTTTGTGGGGTTTAGATTCGTGTTGAAATCACCTGCTACTATATTTATCATGTTATTCTTGATAGACGGAGCCCAGTTGTCAAAGAATATTAATCTTTCCTTTTGATGCGGTGGTGCATATATGTTAGTTATTTGCAAACAAGTGTTTTTATGAGTGATCTCTGCTGAAATCACTCGTCCTTGTAAGTGTTCTTGAATGTTCTCTAGTTTTATTTTGTTGTAGCCTGCTAGTATTGCTGTTTTTGTTGATCAGTGTGATTCAAATGGCCATTGATTTCTTATGAATTCGAGATTCTTTGTGTTGTTCAAATTTGTTTCCTGGATTAAAATTAAGTCTAGTTTGTAGCTTTTAATTAATGTAAGTGTTTTTTCAGCCTTTTGTTTGTCATTAAGGCCTTTTACATTTAGCATCGCTATTTTAATGAGTTGTTTTTTGATCATGATATGATTTAGGTTTTTTAGGGTATGGTGATTCCTTGTTTTGTTTCGTCTATGCATTTTTCTTCTCACTTTTTCGCTGTTTTTTGTTTTTAACCGTAGTAAAGCCATCGTTCTCCTCAAGAGATTCTGCATCAATTGATGTTTGTCCAAATGTGGTCTCACAAAGGGTCCGTGGTTCTGTTGCTTCTGCAGGGCCTGTCTCTACCAATTCTATTTCTGTTGTTTGCTGTAATTCAATTGTCTCTGGGAAGGTGATCTCTCTAGTCAGCTCCTGGCTACTGTCCTGTTGATCATTCAGGAAATTTTTATCCTGACCTTTCTCTTTGTCTATCTCTGTATCCTTCTTATCATAATTTGGAGTTTCCCTTCCCTCTTCCTTTTGTGGGGAAAGTGTGCTGGGATCCTCTGCCTGTTGTGTTCTTTTGCGTTTCTTAAATTCTTCGTAATGGTGGCGAAGCAACTTTGCTTCTTTGAGTTGTTCACAGTCTTTTTTTATGTGTCCTGCACTATCACAGAAGAAACAGATTTTCGGAGCTGTTTTCCACTCAGTAGTGACTTTTTGTTCTAACACGTATGTGTATCTTGGGAGGGTTTCTTCCAGGTTGGCATCCTCTGTAATGTCAAACACTACCAGCCATTGATCTGATAGGAAAGGGGTTCCTTCGTAAAGTAGGGGTTTGATTGAGAGGACTGTTCCGAAGAAGCCAAAGGCCTGTCGTAATTCCTCTGAAATCTCCTTCCTGTTTGCGATTGGGACATTCTTGACCTTGACTGAGAGAATTCTTTTTTCTGTTCTGTTCGAGATGAACCCTCTAAAGGTTCATTTGAATATCGTGATTCCTTCTGTGACGTAGTTCATCATGGTCTGTTCATCCTGGAATATCAATTCCAAATGCATTCTTACTCCCTTCCTGTAGTGGGGTTTGGCCCCGATGATGTCTGCACCAAGTTTGCTATAAAGCGTTGCCATGATCTCATTATTTGTTACCTCCTTTAGTGATAAAATATCGAAGATTAAGGCGTTTTTATTTTTTGTTTTTATCTCGTTCCTAGGAGAGAAGGTTGAGTATGTGGGCTTTCCTTTTGTTAGTTTTGTAAAGAGACTGGACCATTTTTTGTTAGTCCTTGAATACGGGTTTCCCTCTGGATTGCTAGTCTGACTCAAGTTATCTTCCCTGTCTGAGTCATCAACAATTTGTCCCAGGGGTTCATTTGATCGTGCTGTCTCCAGTTCGGCAGAACCTTCTGAAGCCATCTCCGGTGAATTTTTCGTAGATTCATTCGTCACTAAAGTTGAGTTTTCAATCATAGTGTCTGAGTTAGACATTCCCTCTTCTGTGTTTATTTGTTTGCATTCCTCTGCCCAACTTCGGGTTTGTTTGTTAGTACTGTTCGAATCTGTTTTACTTTGGGGGACGCATTCTGTAACTTCTGATGTCTTTTTTTTTATTATTATTGTAGTGTCTTCGTTTTCCTTATTTTTGCTTTTAGATCTTGTATCGTGTGTTTTCGACATTTTCCTTTTGGGATTGTCTGTTTCTGATAGTGTTAACTTGCGTTTCCTTGGAACAAGGGCTGCCGCCCTTGTTGGGGGTGTGTGGAGTGTTTGTTCTTGAGCCTTTGGTTTTATCTTTCGTTTTTCTAGACACCCGGCACCGGAAAATCGGTTAAGTGTCTGACGATCTTTTTAATAAACCGATTTAATTATTGATATATATATATATATATAATATACGATTTCTTTATCATTATTTCTTTACCTAATAGCGAGCTTTAAAAGAGGGATTTTATCATGCTGTCAACTTTTGAAATTTGTTTTCTTACTTTTTGCATTGGATTCACTATCGTGTCGTGCGGGTTCATGCTCTATCAATGCATAACCAACTTTACAAAACTACGTCTTGCATGGTAAAAAAATATATTTCTTTCAATTTTATTTTATTTTTTCATCAATTAAATCATTAAGTCATAACTTTTACTTTCTTTATAAATAGTCTCATTTCTATTATAATCATATTTATTATTAGCGTATGTAATTTCATCCGAAATATAAATGCTTCTTTGATACAACTAGAAATGTATTGGTTTGTCTTTGCGCTCATAAGAGCAATCTATACAACAATCTTGGTTGTATGTATGCTAGTCATGGGTCGAAAATTTTATGAAGAAAACCAGCGGAATACTTTACTATTTAAATCAGCCATTTTACAGTTATTTATTTTTGACTCTCTAAATGCGGTAGATGCCATATTGATATATGTTAAACAACTGGATCATTCTGAATTTCCGCTGTTTCTTTCTCAGGTTTGTAACTAGCATTTCTGGTTTACAACAATGCACCAGTTAATGGCACTAACCAAAAATAATTTATTAGTTAATTCTGGGCGCCTCAACCATTATTTCATCATTTTTATATGTCTTCCTACCGGTTCTCACAGTTTACATAAGCAAAGCAGCCTCTCAAAAATGTCACATAAACGCAAAATCTGTCGCTGTTGGTACTTGGTACATGACAATAACAGGGATTCTGTCAATAATGTATCTTACCCTTTATCTTGTGACATTTTGCTTTAACGATGAGTTAAACTCACCTATTAGTAGTTCTTTAGATTACATTTTGCGCACCATAATATCTTTAGCTATTGGTTTTCCACCTCCCGTTAAAATTATAAACTTTATGAAAATGAAAATTGTTGAACATATATCATCTTCTTCACATGATGTTCATGATAATGAACAGATTTGTTGATGTCATATATACATTCTTTTATTTTGTAATTTATGTGCAGTACCTATATTACTTTGTACGTATACTTTCCCTGAACTTTTTCATTGTCACTAAATTTCTTAAACTTATTTAACCTGAAAATATATATTTATCGTTATGTGCAAATATTTTGTACTAAGCGCTAAATTTGGATATCAATACGTAATAGTAATATCGATATAAAAAAAAAGATTTATTCAGAATGTGGAGTCTCCATTTTTCTCCTACTTAATTACAAGTTCAACCCTACTTATTTTCGAAATACGCTATTTACACTAATTCTTAAAACCCCTAGTAATCAGATTTTCATTACAGTAGTTGTAAAAATACTATCAGAAGTATAGATGGTGGTAGAATTCAAAAATGGAAATTTTAACAATGAAAATGATTAGTAATCATTGTTATAATTTCCTTTTTTGAATTCTACCGCTCAGAAGGCTGAAAAATTATCCGATTCACTTTGTTCATTAAATCTTGGTACTGGATCGATAAAAGTAAGCTAGCACTATAAGTTGTCAGCTGATTTCCATTGTACAATAGGTTGTGGGTGAACACTGTATGATGAGATACTTCCTTTCCTAACTACTACTCTAAGCGAATAATTGACAGTTCCATGTGGAGTCACAGGATCAAGCAGGTCTACTAGCTTGTTTGCACCAGAATACGAAACGGCATAAGCATGTGTAGCATACATATTGGACTTATATAGTCTATGTACAAAAGAACTTTTACCAACTTGTTTGCCGACATATTCAAAGCAATGGCCTACGTATAATAACGATAATTCCCAAGATGCAGGTAAATCACGATAAATATCAGTCATTATAGCCGTGACATTTAATTCGAAGTCTACATCATCTTCCAAAATTAAGACACTATTATAGCTCTTATCAATCATTAGTTTATAGATTAAATAATGACTTATATAACAAGATTTTTGAGGAAGACTCATGTTTGTATCAAACTTATTGAAAATCTAAATCATAATAAGATGCTAATTTATCTAATTTTTCTCGCCTATCCGTTCGATAATCGAGATGAATAATATAGATATGGTCAAAGCCAAGCCTAATTTTTTTTTTTAAAAAAAAAAATTAAGTCGTTGGAATTGAATAATGGCAGGAACCAAAAACTTAAATTTATTTTCATAACCGGCCGCAAAATTTACAAAACTCTAAAAAAAAATTTCAAGTATCCGGGTGAGTTTTTTTAAAAAATCTATAAAAAATTTTATATGTTTTTTATATACTGTATTTCTGAATGACTTTGTCATATTTATCACAATTTTTAAGAAAATTCCCTTTATCGTGATGATTTTATAATAAAAATGTTATGTATTATCGTTATCGGAATTTATTATTATTTTTTTTTTTGCATTGTGTACCGGTACGACATTGCTTATTTAAACTGTAACACAAACATTTTAAACTATGACTATGCTTTATTAAATGTGTTCCCCGAACACGTTAGTTAAATCTGCTTTTATTAAATTTTTATTAGAAGGATTTTTTCCTTTTCTTTAAATAATATAACTTTAATAGTTAATTTTAAATTTAATAAAATTTTCGTAAATAAATAATTGGCTTTTATGCCAGGAACCTATCTTTCATCTAATATTTATCCTGAACTGAAAAAATGCAATCAGTTCTTCAATTTATTTCCAAATTGATTTCGTCTTTTACACATTAAACAATCTTCATTTTTGAGACGTTTAAAGTTGCATTCTACCAATATTTTTTTATTGTCTAAATATTTATTTTTACAAAGTGTTTGGTGTTTTTTACAAAGTACTACTGATCTTTGACATATTGGACAATGATGGATTTTTTTCCTCATAATTTGATTAACATTTTTTGCTTTAATTTTTAATATAGGGATTTTTTTTCTCTTTTTTTTTTTTGAACTAGTTTATATATAAATTGAAAACTAAAAAAAAACCTAAAGTAGATAACTTGTTTAATTGTATTATTAGAAAAAAGTCAAATAACTCTCGTGCCAATTATTAAAGTGATTTTGATAATTCTGAAGTTTAAATATTAAACTTCCCATAAATTTAAATTTTCGAACGTGTTATAAATTCTAATATTAACATTACATATCTGATATTCATAATTTTATCCTATTTACGCCTACTATTATACAGCTAATATAAAGGAAAAAAGAAAATTTCTGAATTGTATTGTTGAAATTTTAATACCTCACTAACAAAATGGTGAATGAAATTATCGTTATCTTTTCAATAACACTAAGTCTAATTCATTAAATTAATCTATTCAATTAGCAAATTTCGAATTGAATTACAAGTATGTTATACAGTATATATAGATAGAATTTTAAAATAAATTTTACAACTTATTTTAATTGTATAATTATAAAATGTTAAATAACTCTCATGCTAGTGATCAAAGTGGTAATTCTGTAGAACTAGATGTTAATTTAGAAGCTTTGCAAGAATCTGCAGTTAGTGTATTTCACGAACAGTGTACCTCTATACAAAAACTTTCTGAAGGTGGCTTTCACAAGGTATACATCTTAAAGATGAAAAATGATAAAGAATATATTGGAAGAGTAGCATTTCCTGTATATCCACGCTGGAAGACAGAAAGTGAAGTAGCAGTTATGGAATATATTCGTTTAAATACGACTATTCCTATTCCTAAAGTTTATTATTGGAATAGTTCTGTCAACAATCCAGTAAGAGCGGAATATATTTTCATGGAACGTTTGTCCAGTAGTCGCCTTTGTGATATATGGCCTGGCCTCAGCATAAATAAAAAAGAGATGTTTCTTTTAAAGATCATTGAAATTCTATTGGCACTTAAAAAGCTTACTTTTTCAAAAGTTGGTAGCATTTTTTTTTGATGAAAATGATCAATTTAAAATTGGTCAGGTGATCGAAATTGATTTATTTTCTGATGAACGGGCAACTTTATCAACCATGGAAAAAGGGCCTTTCAACACAACAAAAGAATATATTTTAGCTGTTATTCGAAATAAAATTCGGTATTATGAAACCTTTAAATCTATAGATCAGCAAGAGTATTGGATTCCAAGATATCAAGAACTATGCAAATTGGTGCCAAAATACTTTCAGGACGATGAAAACAAGTTTGTATTAACACATGGAGACTTTCATTCATCAAATATATTAGTCAATAACGATGAAATTACGGGAATCATTGATTGGGAATGTTCTGGTGCGTTTCCAATGGAATGCTTATGTACCTACCCAGTGTGGATTACAGACAATCCTATGATGGAACCAACAAATGAAGAGTTCAAGGAAAATCTGACATTACAAAAATTTTTCCGAGATAATATAATTCATCGTGATCCTGATTTTAAGCGTATAATTGACAATATAAATGAAAAAAAAGATGAATTTTATTCTGCAGTGTTTAATCAAGAAGAATGGAAAATAAATGATTCATTAGATGAATTAGGGATAAATAATATGTTTACTTTCTAAAAATATGGGTTAAACATTTTTTTACAAATTACATTCATTAAATTGTATTATCTTATCGATATACTTTACTCCTTCCATTTTACTATGCATCATAATATATCGAAAAACATGAATGTCTAAATTTTTTTTTTTTTAAAAAAAAAATGAATAGCTGACTTTAAATATTGTAGAAAGGTAATTTTTAATTTAATAATATGGACTAAATGTTAAAATTGGTCTTTAGTAAAAGTGTAACAAAAAACTATTTGAAATACATAATAAAGAGTAAAGTTTCGCTGTATAGTGAATTCTTGATAGAACCAAAATAACTAAGTCTCATGATTTTCAGTTTTTACACAAATGCACAATATTCTAAATTTAACACAACATTATTTTTATAAAGATCTTTTGCTAATTTTTTGTATTCGTTATAACTAAGTTTATTTTCACAAATTACTAAATCAATTAAAGTAGTGTTTTTATAGAGCGCTTCTACTAATATTTTTACTCCTTCATAATCAAATTGATTTCCACTAAGATCTAAAACTTCTAGAGTATTATTTTTACAAAGAGCCTCTGCTAATACTAGTCCTTCATTAAAAGTAAGTTGATTGTCAGAAAGAAATAATCTAGTTAAAGTAGTGTTTTTGCAAAGTGCATCGGATAATATTTTTATTCCTTCAAAAGTAAGTCCATTAGAACTAAGATTTAAAAAAGTTAAATTTGTGTTTTTATAAAGAGCCTCTGATAAGGCTTTTACTCCATCAAAAGTAATTTTATTATTACTAAGACTCAATGAAGTTAAATTAATGTTTTTATAAAGAACTAATGCTAACATTTTTATTCCCACAGAACAAAGTCCAGTATCGTAAAGAATTAAAGATGTTAGTGTAGTATTTTTACAAAGAACTTCTGTTAATATCTTGCTACCCGAAATTCCAAGTTTACTACAACTAAGGTCCAGAGAAGTTAAACTAGTATTTATGTAAAGTGCATCTGTTATCGCTTTCATTCCTTTAAAACTAATATTATTACCACCAATATCCAAGGTGGTTAGACTAGTGTTACTGCAAATAGCATCTGCTAATGCTTTACATCCTTCAAAGCCAAGTCTATTATTACCGAGATTCAAAGAAATTAATGATGTATTTTTATAAAGAGCCTCTGCAAATGCTTTTCCTCCTTCAAAACCAATTTTATTAATATTAAGATTTAAGGAGGTCATAGTAGTATTTTTGTAAAGGGCTTCCGCAAATACTTTCGCTTCTTCAGAACCAAGATTATTATTGGTAAGATCTAGGGATGACAGTGTTGTGTTTGCATGAAGTGCCTCTGCTAATAAATTTATTCCTGCTTTCTCAAGATCATACCTACAACTATCAAGTTTTAATGAAGTTAGATGTGTATTCTTACGAAGAATATCTGCTAGTGTCTTTAATTCTCCAAAACCAAGTTCGACATAAGAAAGTTCCATTAAAGTAATAGTGTTTTTATAATAAATTTCTAATAAAAAATTTACTATTTTACTATTAATTTCTTTTGTGGGATAACAATTACTAGTGAAACACTCAATTTTTTCACCTGTTCGTAATAACATTGCAATTAATGAATATTCAACTATTTGAACCATATTCCCGAATTCGTGAGATTCAAGTTTGTTTATTATTTCATCAAAGTTACGAGGTTCATATTCCTCACTGCAAAGCCAGTTTAGGATTCCTATTGCCAAAATTTCGCATTTGATCAATGTAGTGTATGATGTATATTCAAATAATAGGTTTGGGCCATTTGGAAGTAGGGATGGGTTCGGTCACGAACGGTCACAATTATTCATAGCCAATTTGCTAACTACTGAGATGATTTTTTACTTTTGAGCTTTTAATTAAAGTTATTCAGAATTAAATTCTGATCATCTTATCTTATAAGTGAAAAGAACGATACCTTCTCTGGAACTCAGAATTTCAAAATATGTTAACGCCATAACCGGTTATTAACCGTCGGCTAATAACCGGTCATGACGTTACAAATTTTGAAATTCCGAGTTCCAGAGAAGGTATCGTTCTTTTCACCTATAAGATGAGATGATCAGAATTTAATTTTAAATAACTTTAATTAAAAGCTCAAAAGTAAAAAATCATCTCAGTAGCTAGCAAATTGGCCATGAATAATTGTGACCGTTCGTGACCGAACCCATCCCTATTTGGAAGTAATATATTTAATGGAATTAAAGACTCCTTTTCTTCAGCATTTAATGATAAAAGGTATATTCTTATAAGTTTTCTATCCGTACAACAAGTTAATGGATCACTCCATAATATTGGAACAACATTTCTACACCATTGGCGGTTTACAAGAAGACATGAAAATAAGAATCGATAATCATTTCTAAGGTTATTAAATATTTCAATAAGGCATTCATTTGGTAATGCTATCATTTAGAAAGCTAAAAAATATATAATGAAATAAATAGAGCATGTGTGATTGCTTATAAATAAGCGTAGATTACCCTGCAAGATTGTATTATATTATTAGAGATGGCAGAAATCATGATTTAAATTTATTTTTATGATTTAGAAATACTGTACTATTCTACCATGTTCCGAAAAGTTTATACATTCAAAAATTCAGCAATTGAAATCTGTTTTAAAATTGATTAATTTTAAATCACATCCCATCCCTAGATCTATAATAATACCAATCGAATTGCAATATAATACAAATAACTCCAGCAAAATCGATCAAAAAAATTTAAAACAAAGTTTGTATTATTAAATTAGAATAAAAAATATAAAAAGGAGTGTCGATATCTTCACTTTTTTAATTTTTACCTTGTTTATATAAAAAAAATGGAAAAAGAACTTTCGAAAATAGAATATATAATTGCATTAAAACAACAATATGAAATATATTTAAAAAATATTCATGAGAGAAAAACATTAGTTTCGTTGCGAATGTACCAAATGGTTATTATCACTATCGGATTTATTTTATTATGGATTGTAAAAAATAAAATGGTTAAAGTACACATAGTTATTGCCGTTTTAAGTATAACATGCATAGGAAGAATATTAACTCTCTCGGAAATCTTTTTTAACAAACAACTGAAACACATAACGATAAGCAACGAAATAATTGAAAATGCATCTTTAAATAGATTGAAAGAGTTCAATTATCAAGAAACAAAAAAGAATAAGTTTTATTCATATTTTAATATGATATTAAATTGTTCTATAGCAATTTCGTCCTTTATTTTAATATATCTCTTTGAAATAGAAGATGTTATATGGGATTTTATTATCTATTCTTTTATTGAAAATGTAATTATTAATCTCTATATGAAAGTAGAGACTATTTTTATAGACAAAGATATTAAACAAATTTTTGATGGAATAATTTTTATAGACGAAGATATTAAACAAATTTTGGATGTAAATTTTCTTGATAATAGTAACCAATGTTCTTGAAAATGTTTTAAGACTAATTTTAAATATTATATAAATAAAATTTACGTTACCAAAAAAAAAAATTATTTTTTATTATAAATTAATCGTTTCTCTGCCAAATAGAGATAAAATGAAAGCATGTTTGATATTTTGGTCAGCGCGCTCAATCTATTAATATTTAAAATCAAACATACAATATTTTTAACTTCTATTTAGAATATTGAAAATAGTATTGATTTTTTATTAGAAATTATCATGTTTTTTTTATAATTACTTCTTTTTAATTCGTTTGGATTTTCATTATTAATTGTAAGTCATAACAATATTCAAAAAATAATAAACAATACTCTGTAATATATAAAATCCTCGTATTTCTTATGCAATTCACTACTAAAATGTCCAGATTTTTCGATCCATTAATTTTAATTTTCAGATCATGGCTAAATTTATTATTAATATTCATTCCATTAGGAATTTTTGCTCATGTTTTTAATTGGCCTTCTGGATGTATTTTCTTTTTTAATTGTTTAGCAATTATTCCCTTAGCAAAATTGTTAAGTGATGCCACTGAAGCCATTTCTTCGAAAACCGGACAAGCAATTGCTGGATTATTAAATGCTACTTTTGGCAATGCAACAGAATTAATAATTTCTATTTTGGCTCTACGTGCTGGAGAAATTAAAATAGTTCAGTCTTCGATGTTAGGATCAATTATTTCGAACATTTTATTAGTTTTAGGAACATGTTTTTTTGCTGGAGGTATTAAGCATAAGATACAAAAATTTAATCAAACTGCAGCTCAAATTAGTTCGAGTTTGATGACCTTAGCTTGTATAAGCTTAATAATTCCTAACATTGCTTTTAGCAATGACATTGAAAAAATTTTAATATTATCCCACGGAACTGCAATAATATTGTTAATAATTTATGTGCTTCAATTATTATTTTCAATTAAAAACCCATTCACATTTCTATAAAGATGAGGAGCAAGATGAAGAGCCACAATTACCTTTTCTACTTTCTATAATTTTGTTAATCATTACAACTGTATTTATTTCTTTAGCTTCTGAATTTTTAGTTAATTCATTTGAAGGAGTAGTAAAAACTCTTGGTTTTACAGAAACTTTTATTGGATTAATCATTTTGCCGATTGTTGGAAATGCTGCTGAGGTAATTATCTTGTTCGTGTTTAATCGCTTTATTATTTGCTAAAAAAATTTTTTAGCATACCTCGGCAGTTATTGCAGCAATGGATAATAAAATGAATATGGCAATTAACATAGCCATTGGCTCTTCTATGGTATGCTAAATGATCAAACTTCTGTAATTAACTTCTTTCTCAAAAATAATAATTTTTTATTGCCAGCAAGTTTCATTATTTATTACTCCATTTTTGGTTATATTTGGTTGGATTATCAATCAACAAATGAGTTTACTCTTCAATTCTTTTGAAACTATTATATTGTTTATATCAGTTCTAATAACCAATTATATTATTCAGGTAAACATCATTTTATTATGTATCTATATTTTCAGAGTTTATTTGACAAAATGTCTTTTTAGGATGGAGAATCAAACTGGTTAGAGGGAGCGATGTTGTTGGCGACTTATACGATACTTTGTTTGGCCTGTTATCTTTATTCATAATTGCAATTTAGTATTTTCAGATTGAGATTTCGATTTCAGAAATTTGAAACACAAAATTTAATTCATTTTTATTGTAGTATTAGATTTTGTTTAATAGTCATGAGCACTAATATTTTAAAATTAAGAGTTTATTATAATGATTTAGTAATATAATACGAATAATTTTTCCTAAAAATAAAATGTTTCAATCAAAATTAGCGTATTTCAAAAATAAGCAAGAGTTTAAAAAAATTGTATATACATAATTGTATAATCCAAACACGTCACTAATTTTCAATTAGCAATTCATAATAATAACTATACATTGATATTAAGTTTGTTTTTCATTGGTATTTTTTAATAACAGTAAATTCAATTGATAAAACAGTTAGAAATTAAACCTTTAATTAAATTCTGTCTAATAAAGTAACAACATTTCCAATAATAACATTTTGATAATTAGACATAAGATATTGATGATTTTATTAAAGAATCTCAATTACTTATCAAACCTTCCTTCATGAATATGGACAAAATATATGTAGTTTGTATCGGACCCTAAACAAACTCATCTCAAGTAATTTTTAAATTACACTATTAGTAAAATTTAAGAATTAGTATTTATTTAATTTTTTTGATTATAGGCCGCTAATGAATTCTTTAAAAATAATAATAACGTTGGATTTATTTATAAAGAAAATGTTTAAAGTGTTATTGATAGTCTAAAAAAAGGGAGTTCCGAATTTGCTGTTGTCGCTTCTAAGATTAACTGTAACGGAATAAATAAACTCATTAATGCCGAATATATTAAATCGCAAAACGTTAAAATTTTTGGAACAATTACTTTAAATATTAGTCATAATCTACTCTCAAATTTTAAGTTACAGGATGTTGAAACGATTTATAGTCATTCAGAGGTAATAATAAATAATTACCAAATAAAGGTATAACAATTCTTAATTTAGGCATTTAAAGGATGCAAAAATTGGTTAGATATAAATCTAAAGAATGCGAATAGAATTTCAGTTTGCTCAACAGGTGAAGGTGCAAAACAAGCCGCTAAAACTTTACGAGCTGCATCGATTTCGAGCAAAGAATGTACAGTTTATGAGAAGTTCAACATTAAAAAACACAATAGAAATTTAGATATTTTACTTTCCTTCTATTTTAATTTTTGATTATTTTTAGTTTGTTATAATAGTTACAGTACGCGTCAAAAGTATTTCCCTTTGTATAATTTTAAGTCGATTTTTCGTTTTGATTACATGAAATTCTATAGCTCGGTCATCACAATTTTATTTGCTGCTGACACGTTTTAGTTCAATAAATTATAAATTTAAAAGCCCAAAGTCTGGTTTTTCCTGGAATTCTATCGGATAATTTCAGAAAATTAAGTATACAATATTGGGCAAAAATTGTCGAATAACGGTATTTTGGCTCAACCAGACAAATGATTGTCTGACACATGCCACGAAGCGGCACGTGTCAGACAATTATTTGTCTGGTTAAGCCAAAATACTGTATTCGACAATTTGCCCAATATTGGTGTTATCCGGCAATCTATTATCATGGCGCCAATCCTTCCTCCCCCTATAAATAGATTTTAGATCTAGAAAATTGATAATCATATAGAAAAAAAAAATTCTCTCTCTTTCGTAGGCGCAGTAACTTTTACTGGTAGCTTTTTTTTTAATATACATTCTTTTTTACCTTATAAATAACGTAAAACATATTTCTGAACCCTTGTGCACCTTGTAATGCCTAAGTCAAAGGCTGTTATGAACAGTCCTGGTGATGTGGAGATGAATGCCAATTCATCATCTGGAGCCAAAAAAGCAATAAACAGAACTGTTTCAAGCGTGATCACACACTCTAAGACCAGTAACACCAAAAGGAAAGCCACTTTGGCTGTAATTAGTAATGAAAAGTCAAGCCTAAATGATAATGTTGAATTGACTGAGAGTAATGATGTTAAAATTGAAGCTGGTGGTGTTGTTTTTGTGAAAAATAAGGTAAAGCACTTTTTTTTTTGAGCAATTTATTATACATAAACAAAAGATTGACACAAAGTTTTAGTGGGTTAGGTATAAGGAACTTACCTCTAAAGAACTTAAAGTCATTCGTGAGAATGCAAGGGTGCAAGCAATATATAAAGCAACAGAGGTTTGAATTAGGGTCCTTGAAGAGTTTCGTTCCGATATGGGCTTTGAAGGCAAAATCAAAGAAATCGATTCAAAAGAGATCCTTAAAGACCAATTGTCAAAATTTGTGTATGCTATGAAAAAAAAGGATAGTGATAAATACTATGCCTCTTTGATTCGTAATTGTCTAGCTGCTATTTGGCAGCACTTAACCCAATATTCAGTAATACCTAAGCCAGTAGAAATTCTTAACCCAAAGGTATATTTCAATTTGAATGCCATTGTTAATAGTAAATTAAAAAATCTAACAGCAAAGGGTCTAGATAAACATGCTAGGTCAGATGGATTAACTTTACAAGAAGTTAAGCAGATTCTTTTCTACTATACTATACAATGCAATAATCTGAGAGGATTTTTGCATCGTATTTTTTTTTACAATTCAATTCTTTTAGCTCTGCAAGGTGGTGAACATTATGATCTTCAAATAGATAACTTTGTAAAATAATTCGATAGTGGAATCAATATGAAACTGTACAGATTGAAAATGAATTAATGAGGAATCAGTGATTATAATAGAAAAGCTGAGGTTATAAGTTTACTAAATATTAAAAGCATAATTGATGACTATAACTTATACTTTGCTAAGTATCCAGTCACAAAGGTGACAAATTTTTATCTAAGTCCAGTTCTATCAAATATGAGTAATTATGTATTTCGATTTTGGAATTTTTGATTATTTTACTAATATCTTTTTTTTTGTTTCCAAGTTGAATTTAGTAGCTAATGGTACTATATGCGTCTATTAGGAGAAAAAAAATTAAGGACATATTTTCAGGTTATTTGTGAATCCACAGATATACAATTTGGTGGTCGTAGTATATCTAACTATTCAGGAAAGAAAACCATAGTTCAAGTACTAAAAGAACTTGGGTATTTGGATTCTGTAGTTATATCAATTACAAGACATAAATCACAGAAGGGTTTGGTAGCATATGAACGTCCGAAGACAGTAATATAGCAAGAAGGCATTAATAGATTTTTTAGGGCATTGACAGTTGTGAACAATGGAGAAAGATCATATAAAAGTAATTTTTTAAATGCAAGTTTAAGTATTTTGAAAATTTTATATATTTTATTTTTCTTTTTAGAAAATGAAGCACTTAGTGCAAAAATGGACTATGCGAACGATTTGGTTAGAGGATTTAAATAGGCAAGTTTAATAATATTACTTGCAAGTAAACTTGTAAGTAATATTAATGGTCTTGAATTATCGTCAACAGTTGATGTTGATGAATTACCAGGAGAAATCGTCGATGAACTACCAGGAGAAATCGCTGATAAACTACTAAGAGAAATCACTGATGAACTACCAGAAGAAATCACTAATAAACTACCAGAAGAAATCACCAATGAACTACCAGAAGCTGCTACTATAAAAAAGCTATCGCTATGAACATGAAAAGTATTAGGCGAAATTGAAGTTTACAAAAATAAAAAAAATGAAAAGAACCAGAAGGAATTTATTGAAAAATTCCTTACTGGGAATACATTTAACAATTGTGTTTTTCATTTTTAATTAAATAGAAATGCAAAATGTTAATTAATATTGTAATTTAAAAAAAAATAATAAATGTAATTTTACTTAGCTTTATGTATGACAAGATTTTATTATAATAAATAATTGCCCTTAATTTAAATATTTAGCATTATTCCAAAATTGGTTAAAAAAAATCAAAGTATTGCTGCGCTATTATCATATGAGTTTGCCGAATAAATAATATTATCTGGCAAACTCATATAATCATAGCACAATAATACCTTGATATTTTTAACTAATTTTGGAATAATGCCAAATATTTAAATTAAGGGCAATTATTTATTATAATAAAATCTTGCCATATATAAAGCTAAGTAAAATTACATTTATTATTTTTTTTTCAAATTACAATATTAATTAACATTTTGCATTTCTATTTAATTAAAAATGAAAAACACAATTATTAAACATATTCCTGGTAAGGAATTTTTCAATAAATTCCTTCTGGTTCTTTTCATTTTTTTTATTTTTGTAAACTTCAATTTTGTCCAATACTTTTCGTATTTGTAGCAGTGGCTTTTTATGGCAGTAGCTCCTGGTGGTTCATTGGTGATTTCTTTTGGTGGTTTATTGGTGATTTCTCCTGGTATTATATCAGCGATTTCTCCTGGTAATTCATCAATATCAACTGTCAACGATAATTCAAAACTATTAATATCACCTGCAAGTTCACTTACAAGTGATATTATTGAACTTGCTCATTTAAATCCCCCAACCAAATCGTTCGCATGGTCCGTTTTTGCACCAAGTACTTTATTTTCTAAAAAGAAAAATAAAATATATAAAATTTTCAAAATACTTAAACTTGCAATTAAAAAATTACCTTTATATAATCTTTCCTCATTGTTCATGACTGTTAATACCCTAAAAAATCTATTAATACCTTCTTGCTACATTACTATCTTCAGATGTTCATATGCTATCAAACTCTTCTGTGATTTATGTCTTGTAATTGACATAACCAAAGAATCCAAATACTTGAGTTCTTTTAGTACTTGAAATGAGGTTTTCCTTCCTAAATAGTTGAATATACTATGACCACTAAATTGTATATCCGTAGATTCACAAATAACCCTAAAATATATTCTTAATTTTTTCTTTTTTAATGAATGCACATAGTACTATTGGCCACTAAATTCAACTTAAAAACAAAAAAAAAGATATTAGTAAAATAATCAAAAATTCTAAAATCGAAATACATAATTATCTGTATTTGATAAAACTGAATTTAGATAAAAATTTGTTATTTTTGTGACTAGACACTTAGCAAAGTAGAAGTTATAGTCATCAATTATGCTTTTGATGTTTGGTAAACTTATAATTTCAGCTTTTCTATTATAATCACTGATTTCTTATTGATTCATTTTTGATCTATACAGTTTCACATTGATTCCACTATCGAATTGTTTCACAAAGTTATCTATTCAAAGGTCATAATATTCACTATCCCGCAGAGTCAAAAGAATTGAATTATAAAAAAAAATACACCACAAAAATCTTTTCAGATTATTGCATTGCATAGTATGGTAGGAAAGAATCTGCTCAACTACTTGTAAAGTTAATCTATCTGACCTAGCACATTCAGCTAGACTCTTCACTGTTAGATTTTTTAATTTACTATTAACAGTAGCATTCAAATCGAAATACACCTTTGGGTTAAGAATTTCTATCGGCTTCGGCATTACTGAATATTGGTTTAAGTACCGCCAAATAGTAGCCAGACAATTATGAATTGAAGAGGCATAGTATTCATCACTATTCTTTTTTTTTATAGCATATACAAATTTTGACAATTGGTCTTCAAGGATCTCTTTTGAATCAATTTCTTTGATTTTGCTTTCAAAGCTCACATCGAAACAAAACTCTTCAAGGGCCCTAATCCAAACTTCCATTACTTTATATGTTGCTTGCACCCTTGCATTCTCATGAACGACTTTAAGTTCTTCAGAAGTAGGTTCCTTATACCTAACTCGCTAAAACTTTGTATCAATCTTTTGTTTATGTATAATAAATTGCTCAAAAAAAAAGTGCTTTACCTTATTTTTCACAGAAACAGTGCCACCAGTATCAATTTCAACATCATTACTCTCAGTCAATTCAACATTATCATTCAGGCTTGACTTTTCATTACTAATTATAGCCAAAGTGGCTTTCTTTTTAGTGTTACTGGTCTTAGAGTGTTTGATCACACTTGAAACAGTTCTGTTTATTGTTTTTTTGGCCTCAGATGATGAATTGGTATTCATCTCCACATTACTAGAACTGTTCATAATAGCTTTTGACTTAGGCATTACAAGGTGCACAAAGATTCAAAAATATGTTTTATGTTATTTATAAGGTAAAAAAAGAATGTATATTAAAAAAAAGGCTACTAGTAAAAGTTATTGCACCTGCGAAAGAGAAGGAATTTTTTTTTTCTATATGATTATCAATTTTCTAGATCTAAAATCTATTTATAGGGAGGAGGAAGGATTAGTGCCATAATCATAAATTGCCAGATAATACCAATATTAGGCAAATTGTCGAATACGGTATTTTGGCTCAACCAGACAAATAATTGTCTGACACATGCCGCTTCGTGGCATGTGTTAGCTAATCATTTGCTTAGTTGAGCCAAAATACCATTATTTGACAATTTTTGCCTAATATTGTATACTTAAATTTTCATATACAAAGTGAGTTGTCATAAAAACAATCTTTTAAACTTATTTTGAATCTATAATTAAGTATATAGAGTATTGTAATATCTTTATAGATTGAAAGTGAGTTAAAAAGGCCATTTTCCATTCTTACCCATTATGCAACTGATCATTCACTACTCGAAAATACCTGAATGTTTTAAAAAATAGTGATAATACTTTCTTTTACAGCTTAGTATAACAGTTTTAGTAGTATTTATTTCTTATTTAACTCATACAGGAACTAAAGAAACTCTTTTATTGAGTATTTCATTTGTTGTTTTCATGTAACTTATTAACAAGAGTTCATGTAACTGTCTATCAAAAAAAAGACCTTCATTAAATAGATTCTTACCTAGCAGAACCATGTTTAGAGTATATATTTTTTTTATATACTCTAAGCATGGTTTTGCTAAGCAAGAACCCAAATAATATAAACTTTAATATTATACTTATATTAAAATAATATAGGTACTTTTGTAAGTGCCAATAATTATGATATATTTTTAGTACCTTTGTAGGTATTTATAATTATTATCTTTAATAGCATCTTTGTAAGTACTGATAATTATGATACTTGTTCGGTACTAATAGTTATAATATATTTATGATATCTTTATAGGTACTGATAGTTATAATCCCTTATGATACCTTGGTAGGTACTGAGAATTATAATCTTTTATAATACATTGGTAGATACTGAGAATTATGATCCTTTATGATATCTTGGTAGGTACTGATAGTTATGATATATTTATAATACCTTAGTAGGTACTGAGAATTTTAATATATTTATAGTACCTTGATTGGTACTGATAGTTATGATATATTTATGATACCTTGATTGGTACTGATAGTTATGATGCATTTATTATACCTTTGTAGATACTGAGAATTATGATCCCTTTATAATACCTTGGTAGTTACTAATAGTTATAATCCCTTATGATATCTTGGTAGGTACTGAGAATTATGATCCTTTATAATATGTTAGTAGGTACCAATAGTTATGATATATTTATAGTACCTTAATCAGTACCAATAGTTATGATATATTTATAGTACCTTTATTAGTACTGATAGTTATGATACATTTATTATACCTTTATAGATACTGAAAATTATGATCCCTTTATGATACCTTGGTAGGTACTGATAGTTATGATGCATTTATAGTACCTTTATAGATACCAATAATTATGATCTCTTATGATACCTTAGTAGATACTAATAGTTATAATCCCTTATAATACCTTAGTAGATACTGAGAATTATGATCCTTTATAATATCTTAGTAGGTACTAATAGTTATGATATATTTATAGTACCTTAATCAGTACTGATAGTTATAATATATTTATAATACCTTAATTAGTACTAATAATTATGATGCATTTATGATACCTTTATAGGTACTGAAAATTATGATCCTTTATGATATCTTGGTAGGTACTAATAGTTATGATGCATTTATAGTACCTTTATAGGTACTAATAATTATGTTCCCTTATGATACCTTAGTAGGTACCAATAGTTATAATCCCTTATGATACCTTAGTAGGTACTAAGAATTATGATCCTTTATAATACCTTAGTAGGTACTGATAGTTATGATCCCTTTATGATACCTTTATCAGTACTGATAGTTATGATTCCTTTATAATACCTTTATCAGTACCAATAGTTATGATCCTTTTATAGTATTGTGATCAGTACTAATAGTTATGATGCATTTATGATACCTTTATAGATACTGAAAATTATGATCCCTTTATAATACCTTAGTAGGTACTGAAAATTATGATTCTTTTATAATACCTTAATAGGTACTGATAATTATGATCCCTTATAATACCTTTGTAGGTACTAATAGTTATAATCCCTTATGATACCTTTGTAGATACTAAGAATTATAATCCTTTATGATACCTTAGTAGGTACCCGTAGTTATGATCCCTTTATGATACTTTAATAGGTACTGATAGTTATGATACATTTATGATACCTTGGTAGGTAC